AATATTTAAATAAGAAATTAAAATAAATACTAATTCTTTATTTAAATAAGTGATTAAATAAATAATTAAATAAAGTTATTAAATTTTAAATACATAAAACCAATTAAGATAATTAATTAATGAAATATCTAAATAAGAAATTAAATTAAATATTAATTTTTTATTTAATTAAGTTATTAAATAAATAATTAAACAAAGTAATTAAACAATAAATAAATAATATACATAACTAATTAAGACAATTAATTAAAGAAATATTTAAATAAGACATTAAAATAAATATTATTATTTTTATTTAAATAAGTGATAATTTGAATAAAGTAATTAAATAAATAATATACATAACCAATTAAGATAATTAATAGAGAAATATTTAAACGAGAAACCAAATTAAATATTAATTTTTTTATTTGAGTAGGTGTTTAAAATAAATAATTAAATAAGAGCCAATTAAGATAATTAATTAATGAAATATTTAAAAGAGAAATCAAAATTAAATATTAATTTTTTATTTCAATAAGTGTTTAAAATAAATAATTAAATAATTTATTAAATATACATAACCAATTAAGATAATAAATTATAAAATATTTAAATGAGAAATCAAATTAAATATTAATTTTTTATTTAAGCAAGTGATTAAATAAATAATTAAATAAAGAAATTAAATATTAAATAAATAATATACATAATCGATTAAGATAATTAATTAATGAAATATTTAAACAAAAAAGTAAATTTAATATTAATTTTTTTAATTTGAGTAATTGTTTAAAATAAATAATTAAATATAAAGTGAAAAGTGTTTGATTTTTTAATTTGTAAGTTAAGGGTATTTTTGTCTTTTGAAACAAAATTCTATTTTTGTAATTATATAAATTACTTAAGGGTATTTTTGTCCTTTACTCAATAAAAGACTATTTTGGTAATAGGCAAATTTTTTTTGGTTAAAGTGAAAAATTGTCCCTTTGACTTGGCCAAACTAAAAATTACCCCAAAATGAATCGAAAATGGTCATTAAAGATTAATTAGCGTTTTGTGGGGGTGCGTGTGGGGGCGAGTGTGTTAGGTTAATTTAATTTTATAATATTAAAAAATTTAAATTATTACCTTATTTTTTAACAAAAAACTTTCAAATCTGATTTTTGAATTAAGAATTTAAAACCTGGCTAGATGTAATTTCCAGCCTAATAAATTGGTTAGTCCAAAGCCCGAATCCATTTGGCTAAAGTTTTTTTTTTTAGTGTGGAGAAATGCATTTTAAAGCAACTCAACAGTTGCAATCCTTTTATATTCTGAGATGCCTTAAACCTTTGGATCAAAGATTAGATTAATTGCTGGCAATAAGGATATAAATAAAACTCTTAATTGCTCCATTAAGTTCATAATCTCCGATTACCGTTCTTGCTAGTCTTCTCTTCGTAAGTTATTTTATTTTATTTTATTTTTTTTACAAGGTGTCCAATTCTTGACTAATCCTTGGGTCTGTGATCTGGCCCCTCTTCACACAATCCAGTTAATTGCGGGATGTGCCTCCAACTAGCCAGTGTCCGAGCTCTCCTCACCTGATCTGCCAAATTGCCAAGCACCAATCCAAGTTGCACCTTGCCTTCCAAGAATAAATCATTGCCTTCCAAAAGTCCCATGAATCGAACTCACGACCTCTGATCTGCCAGGTTTGACAGAGCCTGTCTTTTGCCAGTGGAGAAGTGCCCCGGAGGGCGTAAGTTTTTATATCATGTGGAGTTGGTTGAGAGAAATAGAAAACGATTATCAGTAACATCCTTTAATTTGATAACGATTTGAACTTTAATTTTGTGGTTAAAGTTTGATAGCCAAAACAGAAGGGTACAATTTTTAAGTCTAAGCCCTTCGATCTGTAGTCTCCTTGGTGCTATTTTTGCGTTCACAAATCATTTAATGTACACTTCATTTGTTGAAGAAACTTGTCATTTTGGACAAGAAACTTTAAATTTGTATTTTGTTCAAAGTAGTTTTTTTATAATAGATAGCTTACTCTCTAATGAACAAAATAATACAACTTGAGGACTTCTTGACCTGCAAAATCTTCGACGTATCTCCCATTTTTGGCAATATTTGAAGAAGGTGACATGAACTTGAAGATTAGTCTTTAAACTCTTATTCAAAGTCTTTGTAAATATTAGAGATGGTTTTCCATTGAACTTTCGTACATATACTAGGAACGTTGATTTTGATAATTCAAAGTGCATTTTCTCCAATAAGGCCACGTTTGATAGGGTCAAATTCCATGAAAAATGGAAATTCATTTTTCACCCATTTCTTGGTATTTGATAGCTTATGTTTTCCATGAAATTTGTTTTCCTTGCTTTTCTTGGAAATTGGTATTTTCTTGGTTTTCCAACCAACTGTTGACATTTTATTTTATTATTATTTTGGCAATGGAAATAAATTCTATCTATAATTGTAAAAAAATATTTTCCTTTAATTGACAATTTATATGTAAAACAAAGTCAAACAAGTACCAAAAGATAGATGATTATCTTTGCCTTTTTTTTTTTGGCGATAAAAACGAATTCTATCCCCAATACTAGTAAATTTTATCATTTTAATTGATAATTCTCATGTAAAATAAAGCCAAACGAATATCAAAAAATACTTTTATTTCAACATTTTTCACGTGAAAAATTATACCAATCAAATATAATAAATTGACAATTCTCAAGAAAATAATTTTCAGACAATTCAGTTCCCTGTAATTCGTTTTTTTTCCACTTAAATTTTATCTTTGCAATTAAACGGACCCTAATTTTAAATTGCAAGACTATCATTTTTTTTCCCTTTTGAAATCTAAAGACTATATTATTTAATCATCATTTCTTTGAAACTACTCATGTTCTCAAATACAGTAAGATTTGCCTTTTCTCCTTCAGTATTCAGCATCTTAAGGGCATAAATTTTTCAAGATTTTAGAATCAGTTAAGAATAATTCTATTTGTACAATGTTTTGTACAATCTAGTTGACAAGGGGGCCACATCCCTCGGAGCATATTCCAGTGGTGCAAAGGACAGGGATGGAGAATACTCAATTTTGCTAGGTTCGATTCCTGAAACATAGATTGAGACTCTTTGTGAGCATTAATGTACAAGCAGCTCTTGTTTTCTAACCTGTTAGGATACATCCCACGATTAACCTTTCTCACAATGCTCCAGGAGCAGGATGGCGAAGAACCGTTAAGGTTGGGGTTCAATTGTTTTTTTTTTCTTTAGTTGACAAGGGGGCCATTTTTGTTAAACAGTTAAACATCCATTTTTGTCATTTTCTGTTTGAATCGGCTCACGTCAATTAAGATTCTTCTACATGTACTATATTATAAATATTTAATAAACGACTAGAGTCCATAAAGCTTTAAGGAGCTCCAAGACAGTCTTTCCTCTCCAGCGATTACATGGAAAAAAACACTTTGCATAGAAAAATCTGTCATCTTCTATTCTTCCTGTGCATCTTCTCTGCTGTACTCAATCACACTATAGCACGAGAAAATAATAAAAGCAGCAATTGTCAAGTGGATCATCCTCATAGAATTCGCAGGATAGGGAGTGTGATTGATCAAAGTTCTCGCGTTGGCAAGGAGCAAAAAATTGCCATTCAAATGGCTGTCAATGACTTTAATCAGTTGTCGAATTGTTCAAAGCTGGCTTTGCACATTAAAGATTTACATGGAAAGTCAGCTCGAGCAGCTTCCACCGGTAAAGTTTCTGCTCACCATGTTTTAATGATTTGTTGAGGTTTCTTGATTCTTGAAATTTATTATTCTGTCCGTTTCCAGTTAATAGATAAGTCGAGCTAGTATTTATTGTTTTATTTCTATTAACTTTCTGAGAAAGCTAAAACCTTTACGAGGTTTCAGGAAATAATTAATAACTTTTTGGAAATTTTCTAGGAGGAATAGTGATGGGACCACAAAACTTGTGAATTATAATGAATTGATTTTGAATATGTGGTAGAAATAAAGCTTGACTTTGATTGGGTTTAATTTGCTAAAAATATTTCCCAAAATATTATCCAATAAAAATGTCCTAGTTACAAATCCCATTTGAAGTTGCAGCAGTTGAGCTTATCAAGCTAAAAAAAGTACAAGGGATTGTAGCAGCATTGACATTGGAAGAAGCAACTCTAGTCACAAAATTTGAAGAAGTCGCCAACACCCCCATAATCACAATTGGCTCAGCAGCCATTTCTCCATCACTACTTCTTCCTCAACCACCATCCGTTTTTCAGCTGAATACTGATATTGGCACTCGAATGCAGTGCGCTGCTGCAATAATTGCGCAATTTAGATTGCAAAAAGTCACGGTCATATATGAACAAAGCAATAGCTTCTATGCGGATTCCAGACTCACAAAACAACTTTCTGCCTCACTGAAACCGTATAATTATGATGTCGAACTCGATCTTGTATTTCCTTCCTTATTTTCTCTCCCTGAACCTGGGGCCTTCATTGAAGGAGAGCTGAATAAACTCAGAAGCAAAAGCAGTGGGATTTTTGTACTTGTGCAGTCTTCATTGGAGTTTGCTACAGTTCTTTTTGAGAAGGCCAAAAAAGTGGGAATCATGGAAAAAGGTTATGTTTGGATTGTGTACGATGATATTGTTAACCTAATTGAATCTATGGAGCAGTCTGTCATCCAAAACATGAAAGGGATCATTGGAATTAAGACGAATGATGAGGAAAAAGGCAAGCCTTTCCAGGACTTCAGTGTCAAGTTTCGAAGAAAGTTCAGATCAACATATCCTGAAGAAGAACATCCATATCCAAGCATGTATGCTCTTCGAGCATATGATGCTACATGGGCCATTGCAAAAGCTATGGAACATTCTAAAGGGAAAATAAACTCAAGTGGACTGATAAATCATCTCTCTTCAAGTGATTTTGAAGGTCTTAGTGGAAAAATCAGCTTCAAGAATGGAAAATTAATGCAAACAAGTACCTTTCAGATCATTAGTGTGACTGGGAAAATTTATACAGAAATAGCATTGTCGTCACCAGAGCTTGGCTTCTCAATGGATCTTGGAGATCAGGAGAGAAAGGGGACTAGAAGAAATACTAATATGCCTAAGGAATTGGATTTAGTTCACTGGCCAAGAGGTGTGCAAACAGTTCCCAAGGAAAGGAAAGTGAAAATTGGAGTTCCTGTACGGGCTGCTGTCCAAGAGTTTGTCAGCATCATGTATGATGAAGAAAAGAAGATAACATACTTCGGAGGATTTTCAGTTGAAGTTTTTAAAGCCGCAGTTAATCTACTTCGATATCCTTTTCCTTATGATTTTGTTCCATGTAATGGCACTTACGATGAGATGTTGATTGCAGTTTATAATAAAGTAAGGGTTCTTAAACCTTTTCGCTTTGCTTGATGATAAATTTCACCTAAGTTCTTTCTTACTAGGTCCTTCAACCATATAACTCCATTTTTTTTTCTTTAATTAGAGATTGGATGCAGTAGTTGCAGACATGACTATACTGGACGATAGATATGATTATGCTGATTTTTCACAGCCTTATATGGACTGTGAAATTGTTATGGTGGTACCTGCAAAAAAGGATTTGAGAAGTTCAATATTCATTGTTGTGACCGCCTTCGAATGGAAATTGTGGGTGGTGATGGCAGCATTAAGCTTGTCCACTGGAGCCATTATCTTTTTAAATGAGCACGCGAATGACAATCCAGAGTTTGGAGGTTCTTTTCCTCAGATAATTGGTTCTATGCTTTGGTTTTCTGTCACTCTTCTCTCATTTGCGCAAAGTAAGTCTCAACTTAAAATCAAAAAATTGATATTTGAATGAGAAAATCTTCTTTCTTTTTGTTAAAGATACGGAATATGAAAATATTGTCTAGAATAATCTTTTATTATATTTTTTCAATTATATAGTATTATTTTCCTTATTTGTTACTTGTGTAATTATGATAAGCCCCCAATTAAGCATACCTATTCTAGAAGAATAGGGAAGAGGGGGGAGGGGCAGTAACAAATAACAAATTCTGTTAGGAGTAAAGAGTGAGGAGGCAATTCGGTTAGTAGTAGTCTATAAATAGAAAAAGGGTTGGGGAGAGAGAGGCATGCAAAAAGGATATTTCAGTAAGGGTGGTTGTCATACGACCTCTAACGGTCATCTTTAATTTGGTTCTGTTTTCTTTCTTGCTGTAATTGGAACGTTCTCCATTAATACAAGTCTCTTTTCACAGTCGATTTCCTTGTTTTTTTCCATTAAAATCTACAGCACTCTAGGGTGGTATTTATCAATTTGGTATCAGAGCAGTACAACCATGACGTTGACAGATCGCGTGGGTGAACTAGAACAAAGGGTGGAGAACCATTATCAGGAACTTCAGGCAGGATTGGGTTCACTTCAATCAGAATTCAGATTAATGCATGCGGGGATGATAGAAAGGTTCGAAGTGCTCATGCGGAAATGGGACACTTAGGAGAAGGAACGAAAGGAGAAGGGAATAACCAGTGAGAAGTCACCAACATTGTCTGTCGAGTCTGGGTTAACACAATCGCGACCCAGCAGTAACCAATTCGTTGGGGGAAGTGCTGGTAGTGAATGGAGGGGGGAGCCACGCATACGGCGATTGGAGATGCCAGTATTTGAAGGGAACGATCCAGACGGATGGGTGTTCAGGGTGGAAATATACTTCAGCGTCAATCGACTCTCTGAGGAGGAGAAGCTGGAAGCCGCGGCGGTGTGTTTCGACGGCGAGGCATTGGCCTGGTTCCAGTGGGAAGAGCGGCGGAGACCGGTGAAAACGTGGGAAGATCTGAAGGCACAATTGCTCAGGCGATTTCGACCCTCACAGGAGGGATCCTTATGTGCCCAGTTCTTGTCTCTCCGGCAAACTACGACGGTAAGGGAGTATCGCCGGCGATTTGAAACTCTAGCCTCGCCATTATTGGGAATCTCAGAGGAGGTGATGGAATGCAGCTTTCTTAATGGACTCAGGGCGGAAATCAGGGCCGAAGTTCAATTACTGAGACCTTTGGGCCTAGAGCAGATTATGGAGGTGGCCCAAATGGTTGAGGACCGGAACCTAATTACCCACCAAGGCCCCGGTCCAACGAAGCCCAAAAGTATTCCATATCAGAGCCCCAACCCGCCCCAAGGCACACTCAAGCAAAATAGAAACACGATCCCAGTAAATATACTTCCACAGCGCCCTAATTTTGTCCCCAAAAATCCAGCAGCCTTCAAACGCCTTTCAGATTCAGAGATCCAAATTAAGAGGGAGAAGGGTTTGTGTTTTAAGTGTGATGAACGGTTCACAGTCGGGCACCGGTGCAGGAATAAAGAGTTACAAGTCCTGCTGACTCGCGAGTTTGAAGGAAGCGATGAACAAACGGAAACTGGGCAGAACGGCAAACTCGACGCCGGCGACGTCGAGGCTGATGGGGACCTGGGTTTCGCCGAAACTGACGCCATGGGCCCGGGACAGCCAGTGGAGTTGTCAATAAATTCGGTGGTGGGCCTCACAGCGCCGGGCACCATGAAATTGAGGGGAAGGCTTGGACAGCGGGAGGTGGTAGTACTGGTGGACAGTGGGGCATCGCATAATTTTATTTCAGCTGAAATGGTTCAACAGCTGGGGTTGCCGCTGTCGGGCACGGCAGGATACAGAGTGATCATGGGAACCGGCATGACAGTAAAAGGGGAAGGCATTTGTCGAAGGGTGTCCTTGAAACTACCAGGGCTATTGATAGAGGAAGATTTCTTACCCCTAGAGTTGGGCAGCTCTGATATTATTCTGGGGATGCAGTGGCTTCAGAAGTTGGGAAGGACGCAGGTGGATTGGAAGAGTCTAACCATGTCTTTCGACGTGGCTGGGACGAAAATAACATTGCAGGGGGATCCCAGCCTCAGCAGGACTCCCGTGTCACTGAAAACGATGTGGAAGGCCTTTAAGGAACAGGGAGAAGGACTTTTGCTGGAATTGGGAACCATTACCATCGGCTCAAAATTTACTCAGCCGCAACCAGCAGCAAGTATTACCGAAATGTTGGAGGAATTTCAACTGGTCTTCAAGGATGTCATCCAGCTGCCTCCTAAGAGATCTCAAGATCATGCAATCATCTTGAAACCTGGTGCTGCGCCGGTGAATGTGAGGCCTTATCGATACCCGCATTTCCAGAAGAATGAAATCGAACAGCTGGTGCAGGAAATGTTGGCAGCAGGAGTTATACAGCGAAGCACAAGTCCGTTTTCAAGTCCTGTGCTTTTGGTCAGGAAGAAAGATGGAAGTTGGAGATTTTGCGTGGATTACCGAGCATTAAACAAAGCTACTGTCCCCGACAAATTTCCCATTCCGGGTATTGATGAGCTGCTGGATGAGTTGAATGGGGCGACGGTGTTCTCAAAGATTGACCTTAAGTCCGGATACCATCAAATCCGAGTAAGAGCAGAGGATATTCCGAAAACTGCTTTTCGGACCCATGAAGGCCATTATGAATTTCTCGTCATGCCTTTTGGTTTGATGAATGCACCAGCCACTTTTCAATCCTTGATGAATTCCATCTTCAGAGAGCTGCTCAGGAAGTGTGTGTTGGTCTTCTTCGATGACATCCTAGTCTATAGCCGAACCGAGGTGGAGCACAGGGGTCACCTACGTATGGTTCTACAGATCCTAGTGGAAAATCAGCTTTATGCGAACAAAAAGAAGTGTTTATTTGGGCAGAAAGAGATAGAGTATCTGGGGCATATTATTTCAGGGAAAGGAGTAGCGGCGGATGAGTCTAAAGTAGCGGCAATGAAAGCATGGCCGCGGCCAAAAAACTTGAAGGAATTAAGAGGCTTCCTAGGGTTGACAGGGTACTACTGACGCTTTGTCGAAACCTATGGTAAGATAGCATGGCCATTAACTTAGCAATTGAAGAAGGATAATTTTGGGTGGAATGAGGCGGCAGAAGCAGCATTTACAAAATTAAAGCAGGCAATGGTGAGGGTTCCGGTGCTAGCTCTTCCCGATTTTTCACAGCCTTTCGTGATTGAGACGGATGCATCTGGACAAGGAGTAGGGGCTGTCCTGATGCAAAATCAGAAACCCATTGCTTATTTTAGTCAAGTCCTTCCACCGAGGAGCCAGAATAAATCAATATATGAAAAGGAACTAATGGCAATTGTGTTGGCTGTACAGAAGTGGAGGCATTATTTGCTGGGAAGACAATTTGTAGTCCGGACAGACCAGAAGAGTCTCAAATTCCTTCTTGAACAGCGCTTAGTAAACGTAGAATATCAAAAATGGCTCACGAAGTTGTTGGGGTTTGACATGGCTATAGAATACAAGGCCGGGCTGGAGAACAGGGCAGCAGATGCGCTGTCAAGAAAAGGAGCAGCCACGACCTTGATGACCCTTAGCATTTCTTGTGGCCTGCAGATGGAGGAAGTGACAAAGGCTGCAGAAGAAGATCTGATGTTGAGCCGCATTATAACTTCTATAAAGGCTGATCCGTCGTCTTATCCAGGTTATACCTACATTCAAGGAGTTTTGTTATACAAAGACAGAATCACTTTACCTCGGGAATCATCACTTATCTTAGTGGTTCTACAAGATGAACATGACAGTAAGATTGGGGGACATGGGGGTTTCCTTAAAACCTTCAAAAGGGTGGCAGCAACTTTCCATTGGATTGGGATGAAAAAAGACATAAGAGCATATGTGGCCGCATGTGAAGTTTGCCAACAGCATAAGTACTCCACCTTGGCTCCTGCCGGGCTGTTGCAGCCTCTTCCTATACCAGAGAAAATATGGGAAGACGTGTCTATGGATTTCATAGAAGGCCTACCAAAGTCGGAAGGGTTTGATTCAATCTTGGTAGTAGTTGATCGCTTGAGCAAGTATGCACACTTCATTGGTCTCAAACACCCATACACAGCACCATCTGTGGCAACTGCCTTTGTAAAGGAAGTGGTTCGGCTTCATGGGATTCCTCACTCAATCATTTCCGACCGAGACAAGGTATTCTTGAGCAAGTTTTGGTGTGAGCTGACTAAACTCAGACATAGCTCAGCCTATCATTCCCAAACGGATGGACAGACGGAAGTGGTAAATAGAGGGGTGGAAACATATTTACGTTGCTTTTCTTCAGTCCGACCAAAGGAGTGGCATCACTTCTTACCTTGGGCGGAGTATTCTTACAATACCTCATTCCATGTGGGAGCACAACGTACCCCTTTTCACATAGTGTATGGAAGAGACCCTCCACCTCTGCTGCGTTTTGAGAAAGGGTCAACTATAGTATCATCCTTGGACCAACAGTTAGCCGAAAGGGATAAACTTTTGGAGGAGCTCATAGTACATTTACATCGTGCCCAGCAGCAGATGAAAATCACGGCTGACAAGAGTAGGAGGGCACTGGAATTTTCGGTTGGAGACAAGGTGTACTTGAAAATGCGCCCCTATCGTCGCAAGACTCTGGCTCACCGTGTCAACAAAAAACTTGCCCCCCGTTATTATGGACCGTTTACAGTTATAAATAAGGTGGGAAAGGTTGCTTATCGTTTGAAATTACCACCTGAGACACAAATTCATCCGGTGTTTCATGTTTCACAACTAAAAAAGGCCATGGGGCAACATCAGCTGGCATCTCCCTTACCTCACAACTTGGGGGCTGACTGGGAATTGCTAGTGGAACCAGAAACTGTGATTGGCGTAAGGCCAGTAAAAGAAGGCTTGGAAGTGTTGATTCAGTGGAAAGGATTATCACCACTGAAAGCAACCTGGGAACCTCACAGTCTCATTGCTCATCAATTTCCTACCTTCCACCTTGAGGACAAGGTGGCTGATTTGGGGAGGGGGGGGGGGGAATTGATAAGCCCCCAATTAAGCATACCTATTCTAGAAGAATAGGGAAGAGGGGGGAGGGGCAGTAACAAATAACAAATTCTGTTAGGAATAAAGAGTGAGGAGTCAATTCGGTTAGTAGTAGTCTATAAATAGAAAAAGGGTTGGGGAGAGAGAGGCATGCAAAAAGGATATTTCAGTAAGGTTGGTTGTCATACGACCTCTAACGGTCATCTTTAATTTGGTTTTGTTTTCTTTCTTGCTGTAATTGGAACGTTCTCCATTAATACAAGTCTCTTTTCACAGTCGATTTCCTTGTTTTTTTCCATTAAAATCTACAGCACTCTAGGGTGGTATTTATCAAATTATTGCATAATTTTTCCTTTTAGAGTTATTAGTAACCCTATAAATAAGGCCCCCGTTTGGCCCCATTCTTATCTCATTCTTTTTTTTTCTTTCTCTTATTTTCAACCACACAATTTTCTATAAAATAATATTACACACAAATCAAAAAAATTTCATTCTTTTTCAACCACACATTTTTCGAAAAAACATTATTCTATCCATTAAAATTAGCTAAGAATGGGGGGCCAAACGGGGGCAAGGTCTTCTATTTTGTAATATAGACAGCAAGAGTTTATTATATAAAATTTATACTTTTCTTAACACTTTTAATAAGATTGCTAAACTTGCTCGTGCAGGGGAATCTATCAAAAATAATCTGTCACGATTTGTTCTCACAGTATGGTTATTTGTGATTATGATTGTGACAGCATCTTATACTGCTGTCCTAAGTTCTATGATGACAGTGCCGAGGCTCCAACCATCAATAGTAGAGGTTGATTATCTTCAGAAAACTAATGCAATTGTTGGATGCAATGAGGAGGGTTTCATCCCAAGATATTTGACGGATACTTTGAAATTCAAGGAAGAGAACCTCAAGAAAATTGGTTCTCTGAGTGACTACAAGGAAGCTTTCGAAAAGAAGCAAATTGCGGCAGCCTTCTTTATCAGTCCACACGCCAAACTTTTCCTTGCAAATAATAGCAAACGATTTGTCATTGCAAAACCAAGCCTTCAAGTTGGCGGTCTTGCTTATGTAAGATGCAAATCCAAGTTAAATTAAGTTGCACTCTCAAGGTGGAGTTGTAAACCAGACCAATACAGCCTAATTTTGAGATGACCAAGCACTGCTCGTGCCACATGCCTTATTTACAAATTTTGACACCACCACTCCTTGGAGTTGTTCTTTTTAACCTTGATTTTTACTTGCAAAGTTTTGTGGGCTTACATTATTCAGTGTTATTAAATCCAGATCCATTTTGGTTTTCTTGTAGGTATTCCCAAAGGGTTCTAGTTTAAATGCTGATATATCGAGAGCAATTCTAAATATGAAACAAAGAGGGGAGATAAATCACCTGGAAGAGCGTTTCCTTTTCTTCTCAGATAGCTCCTCATCAGATCAACACATGGATGACCTAAGTTTATACCTTTCACATTTTTCGGGTCCGCTAATTGTATCAAGTGTGACTACTGCAATTGTATTCTTGATCATAGTTGTTCGTGTAATTCGTAAACGATGGTCGATTCATGACTCTATACAATCTTCGCTGATGTATAGAAGGATTTCAAGATGGGCGGCATTTCTTTTAGTTGAATGCCATGCAAGATTTTACCCAGGATACTTTGGGGCATCCATTATTCAGAGACAGAATAATTTAACCAATATTGTCAGCGAAAAGTGAGGCCTGGAGTGCTAACTAGGCCATCTATCCATATTTAATTTGTACACTCATTTTTCCCATTTATTTATTGTATAGAAAGTTTTCAATGATCAAGAAATTAATGAGCTGCATATGAATAAATCTAAAGGCTTTTTTGTACGGATCATCCTCCCTCCCAGGCTTCATAGTTCCCACTTCCCACATGCATTAATTTCCTGAATCAATCAAAATGATGTTGCGTTTCTTATAGCATAATTTGGTCCTTGTTAGATAAACGACTTCATAGAATACAAACTATCGTATATCATCGATATTTACTTATTTGCATGAGTTTTACTTACCTTGTGACATGACATGTCTCGTGTAACACTAGCTAGATTTAGACCTGCCATTAATATTCATTGTGTTCTATAATTAATTATCACAATGTAATAAAATATTTGACATTACTTTTACTAAAATATGGAATTAACTGTCTTGACATAAAAACAAAAAATTCACCAATCACAATATCATAAATAAATAGAGGACCACCAGCCCATCTGGTGACGTCCTCGGAGGTAAGATGCTTTTGCAGTATGTCTCAAAATTTTGATTTGTTTTGCCTATTTGTTTATTTTCCCTTGTAAAAGTCTTGCTTCTTTCATCGATGTACAACTCATATAAAGAATAACAACTAAGTTATCGACAGAGGGTGCCTTAGTAATCCAAGCTTCTGGTTTGATTAGTTATTTTCCTTCTTTAGATATATCTTTTGTAAGGTGTGAATCAAATAGTGTCGCTCAGCCCCAGCAAAACTCGTTAATTCAAGTTTGACTATTAGGATAGTCCCCAAGTTTGATTATTGATTTTATAAATCATGATTGTTCTAATAATATGTTGATGCTTTTACTTCAAAATTAGAAAATCTAATTAATTGCTATATTTTAGATATTTTCTCCATATTTGTCTCGCCTTTTCTTGATTATACACTTGAGAGTGTCGTATTGATTTAATTTGTCTGTTAACATAAATGGTACAGTATTCACCAACAATAGAAATAGAAGTCTAAGTCAAAGCTCGTTTGTCACTATGCAATCAATTATCTCATTTTTTTTTCTATTTGTCACTATGCAATCAATTATCTCATTTTTTTTTCTATTTCTATTTTATGTTATTAAATTGCTACACTAAATGGTCAATGATACAATTCAGGAGAAATTTTATACAGAAAAGAAAGAAAATATGGAAGATATTGAACCTATGGTAAACATAAAAGGAGATAATTCCCATTAGACAGTGGCTGAAGCTCCATGGAAAATTCAAAATCTGCTTTCATCTACCTATTACATTTTGCATCGTTTAAGGTAATCTATTAACCTATAGCTACAAAAACAAGTTACCAAGAAGAACAATTTTCAAGCTATCTCCTACTTGGAAAATTGTGTTTGATCCAGACACAACTTTTCCAAATTAGTACATTTTTCATTTTACAGAAAGAAACCAAACAAAAAATGAAACTTAACTGCACCAAGCCAAATATTTTATTTCGTCTAATAATACTCCTTCTATATCTAGTAGCATATGTTCGTCGCATGTTTATAAACGATTTATAAAAATTAAAGATTCATCAACCCATTACCCCTTCTCTCTGTAAATCTAGTTAAAAAGTAAGCCAATCGAATCTGGAACATGAATTTCGAAGGCAGCAGGGTATGCTGCTCCATATTCGTATAAAACATCTATAGGAGTAGGACAATTGAAATGTTGGAAAAAAAAAAACTGAGTTATGGGCCGACTTTGGAACGAGTTTTGAGTGGGACCCAGTTGTTCAATTTGGAAGATGAAAGTTGATTTGTGTTCTCCTCCGTGAGTGCATCGAAATCATATGCTTACTTGCCAAAGATGATGCTCGGGTGAATGAGAAATTGAGGTTCAAAGTGTGCTACTCAAAAGGGAGTTTATGTAGGAAAAATGAATTTGTCCCACATAGGAAAAAGATGAAAAACTCCAAAAGTCATTGTCATTAATGGTAACCTAGTCTATAAATAGTGACTCATTTTCCTCATTTCAATACACCAAAGCAAAAACTTTCAAGTTTAGAATACACAAGAAATTCATTTGCATAGAGTTCTGTCTTTTCTGCATTTCTGTCTTTGTGGTTGTGTAGTTCAGGCACTAGTTCAGTTCGCCGGAGTGGTTTCTGCGATGCTTGGAAGCTACTGGTTTTAACGTTGTATCTTGGGAAACGGATGCTCGTTTTAAACCTCAAGCATGGACGGTGAGGGGGCAAATCTGTTTTAAGGAAACTGTGTGTAACACAGGCCTCGGTTTGAAATTTCATTTCCTGCAATTTCAATTATTCGTTCTGTTAGTTATTGCAGTAAATTCAATAGTTGATTTGTTGTTTATTCTGTTATTATCCAATTAGTTGTACGACTGTAACTTGGTGTTATATATCATCTTACCGGACAAAAAACATATACGGTATTGAAATCGAGAATACCGGATTCCTCATCTTTCATAAACCGACCGAACTGGTGAAATTTGGGATTTTCCCTACATGAAAAACACACAAGAATCTAAAACCCGAAAAAGAGAAAAGATTTAAAGTATATTTACTGATAAATAAAAGAAACATATACATAATCTGCACTACGATGCATACACGTGAATATTCAATCAAACTCATGATGGTTAAACCATATTGAGTTTGCCCACAAGTTGTTGAAATTGAGTAGTTGTGTAGGATTTGGTAAAAAATTAGCAAGCTGCATAGCAAAGGAGATGTACAGAAGAGAGATGGCCCCTGACAAGAATTAATGACGCACAAAGTGATCATCAATCTCAATATGCTTACCATAGAGTTTGGCTCCCTTAACAAATTTCGAGCAAAATGTTATTTTGAAATCCGTTTTTGCAATTTGTCAAGGAAAACATTGCGGAATTAGACTTAAAATATTGCTTGAAAAATTCTAGTATTTTTTTTCTTTTTCTACTTATTCATTAGATATTTTAATTGTTTTATTTATTAATAATTTATCAATAAGCAAACTTGTCTATCTTTCCTCTACCTTATTTGATGATTTCGATCAACTTCCACATACATAGAACTCAAAAATAGGGGTTGTTGACCCCGAAAATTGGTCCTTCCATGCGGCCAACTGAAAGCTACTCCACGTGTTCCTCCCTGCGCACAATCAGCGAATAGTAAGGCGCACACGGCAGGAACCAGCGGGGGTGGTGACGGCCGTATACACTCCGACGGTCAAGTCAGGTTTAAGTTATCAGAACAGTACCCAGGGGCTATGCAAATCAATGATGAAGGGGGAGGAGAAAATATATAAACTTGCTATGGAGTGCTATGTAGTAAGAGTTTCATTACCTTTGTCTCTTGCCAAACCTTGGGTATTTATAGGTGGTATGAACCGTTGGATGTGGGACGCGTGTATACATCTGACGGTATGAAGCGTCCGCTCATAGGCGTCAATCAGCCGCGTTTGTAGAGTGGGCGGACAGTTTGTTTCTTCTGAGTTGAATTGACATAAAGTTGATAAGTCACATCAACTAGTCTCATGGAGACGTCAAATCAATTTAAACCTTAGGTGCAGGAAGGATCTTGGCACAAATCTCAAATTGGTGGCGGATCTTCTAACCGGGGTCCACTTGACCTCGACCTCGAAGGCGAGATGCTTTGGCAGGTTAGTAATAGGAATTGCCATATCACTTCGGAGACACTTCGGAAGGGTCATTTTTAGGTCGGAATATGTGATGCTGCGAGTCCGAGGCGTGTAAGATCGGAACGTAACAGTGGTCCCCCAAGTCCGGGGATGAATATTTATATCATGCGTGGACTTGCTTTCCTGACCGGACTGCAAGTCACGAGAGTTTTGGGGGTTGATCTGTTGCAGCAATCGAGGTTATGATAACAGGCAGACGTGCCAAAGTTTCGTTATTGTGCGTAATGTACGAGGCGATCAACCAGCATGGAACTTCAGGTAAGGTGCGTCGAAGCTTCGTGAATATGGTGCGCTGACCCCACAGACCGACGCGTTGGGAGATGGCTGAAATTTTGTAAAGCATGGGAGGTAACGCATCGTCCGAGGTGATAACCCAAAAGGGCCTTCACGTCAGGTGCGTCCAAGCTTTGTAAAGTTGGAGGAGGAGCTCATCTACCACCGGCGCGCTGACCCAAAAGGCCGACGAGTTGAGAGATGGCTGAAACTTTGTAAAGCATGGGAGGTAATGCAACGTCTGAGGTGATGACCCAAAAGGGCCTTCGCGTCAGGTGCGTCCAAGCTTTGTAAAGTTGGAGGAGGAGCTCATCTGCCACCGGTGTGCTGACCCAAAAGGCCGACGTGTTGGGAGATGGCTGAAACTTTGTAAAGCATGGGAGGTAACGCAACGTCCGAGGCGATGACCCAAAAGGGCCTTCGTGTCAGGTGCGTCCAAGCTTTGTAAAGTTGGAGGAGGAGCTTGATCCGAAGCGATTCAAACGTCAAATGATTTGACAACTGTTGCGTGTTTTCAAGGTGACAGTTGGGTGCCATGCCTATTCTCCTAAAAGGCTACCGTGGCTACTAATTATTATTGACGACTGGTTGCAATCGAGGTGACGCGTTTCAAGCAAGCGTGAAAGTCACAGCGACATCTTAGGCGTAGATCAAATCTGGCGTTTCATTTCAATGGCCTAGATTGAAGATGCGATGAACGACTTAGATTGATTGCATTTGAATTCAACGGTGGAGATTGGATTTGTTTTTCTATAAAAGGAGGACTCTGAGGTTTTCTCAGGCTTTCTACCCTTGCGAAACTAACATTATATTTTGCTCTCGAGTTATTGGCAATTTTCGGTGTTTTGTAAGCAATTCCGGTGAGAAAACTAGACTTCCGGCAACCTTACACCATTTCCGGCTAGGAAAACCTCCAACCCTGTAAGTTTCGGTACCTATTTAGGCTTTTAAATTTTAAAAGAATGGCCTCAGAGAAGAGTTCTAGTTCGGGAAAGGGTTTAGAAATGGTGAGGGTGGACGAGCCCATTGTGGCGACCTCCTCAGAAATAGCCGAGGCAATAATTGGGGGGGGGGGATATATGGAAACGACCGGATAATCCACCAGATACCTCTGTGCATTGGGGGGCGTCGGACTACCCATCAAAATTAAGAGAGGGCGACTTGGGGAGACTTAG